TATTGTCATTTAGCCATGTCTCAGTAAGTCCAATTATCTGAAAAGGTATATTCAAAGTATCAATCAAATTTTTTAAAGAGTCAAATTTGTTCGAAACACTTCGTATGTTTAAATGCATTATTGAAAATTTTGCTTCTATATTTTCGCATTCTATTCGTTTTTTGAAATCCTCTGGTAAGTAATATTCTCACTGAATCTTGTTTGTATTGAAGGATGAATCAAGGTCCGCATTATTGCCGGAAAGCGCTATGTTTTGATTTGTTTCAAAAGGAATAAATCGTAATTGGCTTAGTCTATCCATATCGGGATACGATTGTCTTATTGTTGGATCATTCAACGTTTCAAACTCGTTATCGTTAAGATTTTGAAACGGTAAAAGATTATTGATATTATCTAGAGAATGTTGCGCCATGGTTTATACTAATATTAGAGTAATATATAAAGATTGAATATTAGATAAATTTAAAATATGCACACACAGAGATTGAAATTTGATACCCAACTCATGCCGTGTTGGACTCGACATAAGTTGACCTTCAATATATAATTTGTCCCTCACCATTTTAACCCGCTTGTGTTCTTGTCTTGCCTTTTTCAAAACCGGGTAGAGACGTTTCCTGACTTGCATTATTTCCTCAAGGAATTGCTCTGAAATCGCAATTCTTGTTCCTTTCAGCTTTTTAGCATTGGCCAGAATTCTTTCTTTGTCCGGAAAAAAATTGAATTTGCAGACAATGGCTCGTGTCTGGTTGTAAATAAAGCCGGATTTGGCCTTCCCAATCTGTGCGCGCGGTCTATCTTCACAGTGTCTTTCGCATTCTCAAACCCCAACTGATTTTCTAATATACCGTGGCCGATGTCTGTTGGGTTTTCATCCTTCATTTCGTTGATATTGTAGAATATCAAATTATCGCGCATTGACCTCGCTTGTAGGTCAATGACGCGATTCTTTAATGCCGTATTTAGATCCGCCAGTTTTTCTAGTCTTTCGTCCGTTTTATGTCCTTCTGCCTTGCGTTTTTCATTTTCTTCCTTCAGATCTTTAGCCTCCGCATGGACGAATTCTAGGGAACTCATCATGTCTTTTAGGTCATTCTCCATTGACTTGACACGACTGTCTATGTCATGGGCGTACCGGAAGGAAAAAATTAGGGGGGCGGCAAGAAAATTGCCCGACTTTTCGAGATTCTGCCCGACTTTTCGGGATTCTGCCCGACTAGGACCAAAAAAATTTTTCCGGAAAAATTATTTCGGTCATTGTACCATTTTAGGGGTCAAAAAAATTTTCCGGACAAACAATTTTTCCGGAGCATAACATAAATTTTCGAAAAAAACAAAATTTGCCAAAAATTTGAATTAACTTTAGACAAAATTTACAGAATTTGACCCATTTTTTTTTATTGCAAACCAAAATTGCCCGACTGTTCATCGAATATTGCCCGACTGCCCAAAAAACTGGGGGGGCTGCCGCCCCCCCCGCCCCCCCGCCCGGTACGCCTATGGTCTATGTCATCAAGCTTGCTAAGCTTTCTCATTATAACCTCGAACATCTCCTTCACACCACTTTCTTTTTCATCTTCACTCTCCATTGTATCCTTGAGATTTAGAATCTTTGATTGAACTGGCTTAGAGGGCGACTTTGTTGATGAAATATTTGCATTTTGCGCACAGCTTCTGAGAGCTTGTTTCTTTGTCGCCATATTGCCGGAAGTTTTCAATGGCGCAATATTAAAGGATAAACATACCACCGTTCGATTCAGCGTAAGAAATTGCGTTTACGGATGTCAAATGTATTACTAAACAACAGTGTTCTAGCGATTTATGGCCTTTGAAAATCAAGCGAAATTGTATTCTTTACAAATCGCTCACAGTACGTATAAAGGATATTTGCTGACTGACAGACAGACAGACAAATCACTCGCAGTACGTTTGTGTTTGTATTTGTAATGCCTAATGGCGCAACACGGACAAAAATACCACTCTTCTATTCAGCGTAAGAAATTGTACTTGTGGATGTCAAATTTTTACTAAACAACAGTATGCTAGCGATTTATGTAAATTGTGGCCTTTGCCTTTGAAAGCCAAGCGAAATCGTATTGACTATTGTTGACAAATCGCTTAACATTATTCAACTAATTATAAAAAATGCAGTACGTTTGATCCTTGATAAATTTGGTATCGTTGGTTTTCTCTTTTTCGGCCGCATACCAGTAGATTCGTCGCACCTCTCTCTTCATTTCGATAGTCACATTTTTATATCGAACGTTTTAAAGCGCAGTTTAATCAGGATACAAGGAGAGAGACTCAGAGAGCATGCAAATGTTAGAATAAAAAGATTCACTTAAACGTCATAATAAAGTATTAATAGTGTACATTGATCTTGTGTAGTCCAAATTTCGTCCTATGCTATTCAAAATAACCTTGATATTCTCTCTGAAAAGGACAAAGTTCCGGTTCCGGCCATGGTTTTTTATTAGTTCCGGCCGGAACCGGAACTCTCACAAATCAGGGTTCCGACCGGAACCGAGTTCCAGTGCACCCCTAACACTGGCAAGTGTAAACAACAAGTGACATAACTTTTGCTGATCATATGATTACAATAAAGTTTTGAAACTTCATGGTTTGACAAGTGACAGTTTACTAAATAGTCGGCTGTTGGCTGTATAGACACTTCAAATATTGTTTGCATGACATTTTTATTTCTTGACTGCATAATTATGTTACAATCATAATCACATTTATATAAAATTAGTTACATTTTCTCGACGGGGGGAGGGCAGTTGTCCTTGCTTCCCTCCGCTAAAGTCTTATTTGCTATTATATTTATTATAATAATAAGTGATGAAATATTTCAATTGTCCCATGTCATCTTCATTATTCAGTTCTTTTCAAGGAAATACAAAATGTGAATAAAGTTTTTTTTTCGCAGATACATGTACGCTTTGCGTACCTATTTTATATATATAGCTTCTTTGGGTACTTATAATGTAGAATAATGAAAAAAATTTCTTGAACTCAAATATTGTGAACCGGGGGGGGGGTGTCTTTTCCAACAAACTGAAAATGGCTCGCGCACAAAATTTAAAAGTTGTAATCATATTTTGAGTTAATAAATGGAAAATTTGTCGGGTTTTTAATTATTGTACCAAATTTCAGACAATTTGGTTTAGTTTAAGCCCTTTAACTATTCACGCAAAGTTACATTTTTCCTAAAAATCAGCTTTTCGCATGCATTTGCCTAATTTGCAAATGTCAGCAATATGCAAATTAGGTAAAGACATTAATTAAAAGCATGCGAAAAACTAAATCAAATTGTCTGAAATTTTGTACAGTAATTAAAAACCCGAGAAAGTTTCCATCTATAAACTCAAATTATGATTACATCTTTTAAATTTTGTGCGCGAGCCATGTTTAGTTTGTTGGAAAAGACACACCCCCCTGGTCCACAAAATTCGACTTTGAGAAATTTTTTCATTATTCTACATTATAAGTACCCAAAAAAGCTATATATATATATATAAAAAACCGGATACAAATAGGTGTTTTGCGAAATCTGTTCAGTTTTTTTTATACACCCTGTATATATATATATATATATATATATATATATATATATATATATATATATATATATATATATATATATATATATATATATATATACATAGTTTAAGTTTTTCGTTTTACCTTAAGATTTTCGTTTTACCTTTTTTATACACCCTATATATATATATATATATATATATATATATATATATATATATATATATATATATATATATATATATATATATATATATATATAGCTTAAGTTTTTCGTTTAACCTCAAAAAACCACAACAGTCTGTTTCGTCCGTATAGGAATCATCAGGCGGTCACTTGATCATTCCTATACGGATGAAACAGACTGTTGTGGTTTTTTGAGGTAAAACGAAAAACTATATTACGCTCTATCTATATGGTATTGAGCATATATATATATATATATATATATATAGATATATATATATATATACCCACCTATAAGTTTGTTTTGCTGCCCAAACTAAACCAATCCTATGCCGCCTATATGGTCCGTATAGTCAAGTGTCCGTTAGTACAGGTATAGAAACACAGCAATTGTTTACTCCACAGATACACACGTGGTCTCACGGCCACTGGCTCTGCTCTTCAATACGTCAAAAACAGTTTGCTATTCAACCGTGCTGCGGGAGCTAGAAACGAGGCTACGAAAGTGATTTACGTGCTCACGGATGGTAAATCTAACCGGGGCGTCAAACCTGGTATTCCTGCAGACCAGTTAAAACGAAGACGAGTTATTATCTATGCCATGGGAGTAACGAACCATATTAGAGAAAGTGAGCTGCGACAAATAGCTAGTTCAAAGCCGAAAGACCACGTGTTTCACGTTAAGAATTACGCAGTACTGAATGAAGTAACACGCTTGCTGCAGGGAGGTGAGCCGATAATTCAAGAGACCGTTTTAAAGGGTCCTCATAATTGTACGCGTGTGTGGAAAGAAGCGCCATTGACATCAGCATGCGGCTAGCGTCATTAATTAAAACCTAAATAGAGTTTGTCAACTTCAATATCATTATCATGAACATTATCATTATCATCATCGTGGATAATTAACAATTCAAATTTGTGTTAGCATGTTCTATATAATTTAAAAAATCATATTATAATGCACGATTTGACCCTGAGCTGGGAAGAATGAAAACGAATATAACCTTGCATGCTTCTTATAAAACCATCTCTTACATATCACTCTGCACTCTTCCTGTCTATAGGGCCCTTTAGGGATCTCTAGGACTCTTATAAAGCCATATATAGGAGCTGTTTAGGAGTCATACAGCTCGTCAAGCTCCTTCCCATTTACACTTGCAACTTTTGCTGCAATTTTAAATTAAGTGCGATTTTCTTCTTCTGATGGATGTGAACGAGTGCATGAGCATGAGTGTTCAGATGTAGGTACATCCACTCACAACATTCATAACTCATCTACTCGTTCACATGCATCAGAAGAACAAAATCGCGCTGAACCTCGCAGCAAAAATTGCAAGTATAAATGGGCTTTTAGAGTTATCTAAGGGGTTCCTTAGAACTCTTTGTGGGTTTCGTAGGGCTCTTTAGGGCTCTTTACGGCTGTCTATACGCGACATTTTAGGATCACGTAGAGCTTTGGCCTCTTTAGTACATTCTTGACCTCTAATGCATGGGGAATCATGCATGAATAGTGAGAATTTGACTAAATACTCTTTTTAGTTATAGGATTTATGTGTATTTATCGTTACAGATCTTTCTAAGAAATGGATACATGGTACAACTGTGTTTAACACTTGCGCTAGACGTTGTCGATGTGAAAACGGAAAATTGGTCAAATGTTGTCGACTTCGAAAAGAATTCACAGACATGAGCAACACAGAACGCGTTCGTTACATTAACACTGTTAAGACAGCTTCGACAAATCCAGCGTATGAGCCTCAATACGACAGCCTTCTGACGCTACACAGAACAATTTTCTCGATTGGGATTCACAAAGTAGATTTTTTCCTACCATGGCATCGCTGGTTCATATTACAATATGAAAATCTGTTACGGCAAAACGATTGTCGTGCCACAGTTCCTTATTGGGACTGGAGTTTAGTTGGTGCCAATCCTTTCTCAAGCTCGATCTGGAACACAGGCACTAACGGCTTTGGTGAGCTTAGCCTGCGAACAGGCTCTCAAGCTGAATTGAGAGCTTGCATCGATGACTAATGAATTTGAATATCTGCGTCTCAAATCGTGACGCGAAATTCTAATTGGTCAGATGCTATAATTTATATGTTTCCGCTGAGCTCTATATATGTCAACTGCCGAAGCACTATGCATAAAAAACACATTAACTGATCAAATTGG